GTTTAAAGTTGCATGTCACAACCATATTTTAGAAATGACCTTGTAAAATGGATAATGTTTCATAGTTTTTACTTTTTGTGCATAACATAGGGTCCATAGGTGCATTCCAAGTCACCTAGACTAGACCAGACATAGGGTCCATATGTCCATTCCAAGTCACCTAGACGTATAAATCTCCTTATCACTCTGAAACGTTTATATGCTAGTTCAAATATCGTAATCGTACGCTTAGAATCCTATCCAGATCCGGTCGACAACAGACCATAAATCCGAACAAATAACATCATATATTGCAAACATATAACATTTAGCACATAAAAGCATTTTAGACAACTTTCCTAAAATATACTAGTGCTTGTGTCAACTTAGGTGTACTACCTAACATATTTTAGACACACTCCTCACGATCATTACTTAACATTCTAAGTTTAAGTCTAGAAATTTCCTACGAATTCCTAATTTGCTTAAACTAATGCTCTGATACCAACTGTGACATCCCCAATTTCACGCCCAGAAAAGACCGATTTGTTTATGCTTTGTTTTAAAATCAGAGTAATATTTTAAAGAAAACAGTTGTGGAATTTGTTACCAAAACAAAATATGATAAGAATTTATCAAAGCATTTCTTTAAAGAAATGTATTTTCATTAAATAACAAAAACTCGGGATGTTATGTTCCGATACAGACCAAAAGCATAAACAGTATAAAATAGACATTACAACAGTTATTTATAACTACTGATCTATAATCCAAAATCTCTCGTGAAGTCTACCAACTTATACTCTTGTGCCATTACCTGTAATGCAAAGAAAACTGAGTGGGTCAGGCTTGGGAGCCTAGTGAGCATATAGGATTTTCAACCCACAATAATATATTTATTATATTCAATCATCAAACAATCAACCTAATTACCTATCCCCATTATCTTTTTTATTTCTTAAGGTTTTACCCTAAGAATCGACTATCCTTCCTTCCTTCATTCCTAAGGATTTACCTAAGGAATTGGCATGAAGTCCATTGCTGCCAAAGTTTATCTATCATGTACTAAATCCATAGCTACCAGGCGCTAACTCCATAGTCACCAAGGTTTATGTAATAGGCGTTAACTCCATAGTCACCAAGGTTTATGTAACATGCGCTAACTCCATAGTCAGCAAGGTTCACTTAACCGACGCTAACTCCATAGTTGTCGAGGTTTATTTCGTTTATTAACAGTATTATTTCCGAGACATCCTCTAGCAATACATATCAATGGATTTTTAGAGTACACCGGTGAGCATCAAGTCCACAACACCTACAAGTTGCGAGTTTGCTAGTGTTCCACAGGACTGTCTAGAATAGTCCGTGGTTATCATCCCTACTCTGCTGAATGACGGGGATCATCGTTTGGATAAAGGTTTCACTCATTTTTCACCTGTCACCCTTATCTCATGATCTATATCATCTTTCGTCTCATCCTGAAACTAATCTTTCCTCACACACCAACTATTTTTCATCTACCCATGTACTATCCAACATATTTGTAGATATAAATTACATATATAGTTTAAATCATTAAAAAATATGTATAAAACATTCATTCAACAACCATATACTTAATACATTAAAACAATACTTGTAGTAAAATCGTGTTTATGAAAGGGACTATACACTCACTTGATCAGAAGATGATCGGACAGCACTACGGCTTGTAAAAGTAGTATTCTTCGGTAGATCTGGAAGATCGGGCTTCTCGCAGGCAGAGCTTCGGCTCGGAAACTCTTTTCTTCTCGGGATCTTCGGGCTTTGGGACTTGCTTCGGGTCACGGGATGTTACCAGGGCTTTGAGGGGGTTAAAATAGGGCTTAGACGGGGTATCGGGAGTGGGAGAGAAGAGATTGAGCAACCAAACTCGGCCGCCCCTTGAATTCTATTTATAGGGTCATTTTTTTGGATTCACATCGTGATCTTAAATATTCACGTCATGAGTTCAATGGCCATCAAGTGCGTCATCGCAGCTTGTGTCTGCCAGGCTCCTGAAGTCATAAATACTGAGTTCACGTCGTCAACACTATATTTACATCGTGAACTTTGACAGTTTTGGGGTTTCGCACCCTGAACTTCAGAAATTCATAACTTTCGCATACGAACTCCGTTTTCGACGTTATTTATATCGATGCGTAGGTAAAAACAAGATCTACAACTTTCATTTAGATTTCGTCGGATAATTTTGACTTTATTTTTATTATATTATTTATATATTATTTTTAGTACGCCGGATAGGAAAACTCTGTTATAAACTCATAACTTCTTCATCCGACGTCCGTTTTTGTCTGTCTTTTTACCATTGAACTACTATCGATGAGATCTTCGATTATCATTTAGATTGTTTTGTCCAGAAATCACTCGATCTCATATTCGAACTTCGGGCTGTATACTGTTAATGCTGAAACTTCGAAAAATCATAACTTCCTCATACGAAGTCAGATTTGGACCTTCTTTTTATGCACGCTCTCGGTTTAACGTATTCTAGGAATTTCATGTAGATTGCTAAATCCAAATATCGATCTATCATAAATTCACTATTTATGTCGCGTTGTGTCGTGCCGGTTTTGTTGCGAAACTTCAACATGTCATAACTTCTTCGTTATAACTCGGATTTCGGCGTTCTTTATATGTTCGAAATCCTTGTAACATATACTACAACTTATTTAAGGTTACTCCTTCTAAATAATCTTCCATCATTATTATTATTATTATTATTATTATTATTATTATTATTATTATTATTATTGGTGTTGTTGTTGTTGTTGTTGTTATAACTATTATTGTATTTAATATATTGTTTATAATTGGGTTTAATATACATTATAATAAAAAAAATGATGGATAATCATGATTATTGATTAATGAAAAAACATCATAAATGGTCCCTGTGGTTACCCAAAATCTGAAGTTTAGTTCCCGTGGCTTAAAAATCTCACAAATTGTCCATATGCTTTCAAAACTTTTGACGATTGGTCCTTATTGCTAATTCCGTTAAATTTTGTCCGTTAACTGAAGAGCATTTTCATCATTTCACTACCACAGGGACCATATATGATGTTTTCACTTATTTTTTTTTAAAAGAAAAAAATGGAATAATATGCAGATGGGTTCCTCTCTCTCTCTCTCTCTCTCTCTAAAACCAATGTAATGTAATATAACGAAATTTAAGTTTCGTTTGCTGTCTAACACAAAGTAAACCCAAATCTTTGACTCGGCTTTTTCAACGAATTTATTTGTTGGCCAATAAATGTTTACTTGGAAGTTGAACTATCCAAACTATTGGCAAGATAAATCGGTATTATTGTTGCCATTAAAGTTGCTAGTTTCCATGAATCAGTCTCAAGGTTTTCAATGAAATGGAGAAGCATACCAATTAGATACAAATTGAATCAGACATAGCAAGAAGTTTGGCAGATGATCGTTAGGATTGTTGACGAACTATAGCTCTACCTGTTCATTCTCTACTTTTAAGGAAATATGCAGTCGATCATTTGAGTCTTTGATTGCACCACAACCACAAAAAAGAGCTTAACCTCTCATTCTTTTGTTTTGGGTTCTAAACAAAAGTTGAGCTCATCGACAACATCACTCGTCTGCCCTCCTATATACTTGTTTCTTTTGTTTACTAAATTGAATATTTGAAGACAATGATGGATCTAACACATGTGCATAAAACAGATAAAAGAAGGGAAACGAGTCTTGCACAACATAAGATAAAAGAAAGGAAACGAGTCTTGCACAACATATGTTCGATGAAATGCCTGAAAGAAAAATCTCATCCAAATCATACCCTCAAACATCACCTAATGTACAAAAGATCATGTGATATCTTATCATAACTTGGATTTGAATTCAATCACTGCAATACCTAAAAAACAAGAAATCGAGTACATCAAGACTAATTAGTTAGCAGGGGAGATCTATGTCTCATTTTCAAACCAGAAATAGATGAAGATGGTGATAATAATATAGAAAAGACATATAAATACAAACTTGCGTATATGTGTCTCCTGATCATCGACTCAACTCTCCAAATCTGCTCAAATCATCTCAAATCAGCTTAAATCATGGTCTAATATCCTTTCTTCCTCCATGTCGCCTGACCCACCTTCTTCATCCTGTTCGTCATTTCTTGGAGACGAGGGAGAAAGACAAAGGTGGGTGGGTTGGTTTACGAGAGAGAGAGAGAGAGAGAGAGAGAGAGAGAGAGAGAGAGAGAGGATCATCTACATATTATTCTCTTTTTTTTTTTTTTTTAAAAGTGAAAACATCTTAAATTGTCCCTGTGGTAGTGAAATGACGAAAATGCCTTTCAGTTAACGGACAAAATAACGGAGTTAGCAATAAGGATCAATCGTCAAAAGTTTTGAAAGTACAGGGACCATTTATGAGGTTTTTAAACAACAGGGACTAAACTTCAGATTTTTGGTAACCACTGACCATTTATGATGGTTTTTCTTGATTAATTATCATCTAGTCCAGCACTACAAAGAACTCTATATGTTAAGCTAGTCAACCCTATATTATATGAGTTTATAAGGTTTGACAACAGACTTTTAGAGCAAGCTATCATGCTGGCAGGTTTCAGTCAGATACTACCCAGAATCCTACAGTATGAGTTTAAGCCTGCCTATATATATAATTTAATTGTATATTCAAGCATAAGAGAGAAACTAAATTTACTGTATGCATGTAACTCTTTATTCAATGGTGTTGTGTCGCTGTCACACCAGTAAATCCATATAAAATGCTCCACAATTTTCACACAAGTAGACGTACAAATTCATCAGGATGAACAGACCGGAGTATTGCACTTAGGACATATTAAGAGCAATAAAATTGGGTAAAGATGTAAAACCAATCTATTTGAGGTTTTAAACACCCACGTCACCATATACAAAAAGTCAAAAACCACAATAAGTGCTAATAAATAATGAAATACGAAATAAATGAAGTTTTTTAAGCATGTATAAGATGCTTCCACGTTTAGAGACTTGAAACAAAGGACATGGTAGAGCAATACATATGCTCCAAGTCTTTCTTCCTATTTTTGTTCTACTTGATATAGCACTTAAATCAGTATCGGTTCAAGCCCAGGATAATCAATCAGGTATATATACTGAACTAAACTTTTTTTAGATACAAACACTAAGCATTAAGCACATGTATCAAATCAATTGAACAACCTCTCTTCACAATCCCATTATACATATATTGCAGGCTTTATAAGCATAGACTGTGGGATTGAGGAAGGCTCACCATACACCGATAAGGTAACAGGCATAAACTATGTATCCGATGCTGACTTCATAGACAGTGGCGAGATCCATAACATATATTACCCATATACAACTCGTTCGATGTGGATACTCAGCTTACCACCCTCACAAGTTTTCCACAAAACGCAAGAAACTGCTACACCCTAAAACCAACAAAAGGAAAGGGGAATAGGTATTTGATAAGGGCAAGGTTTATGTATGGGAATTATGACTTTAAGGGCCAACTTCCAGAATTCGATATCTTTCTTGGACCTGATTACTGGGATACAGTAACATTTAACTCATCATCTAATCCAGTAAACATGGAGATCATATATGTATCATCATCAGATTACATATATGTTTGTCTAGTAAATACAGGTCGTGGAACAGGAACACCTTTTGTATCAGTGATAGAACTACGCGATATGTATAAAGAAACTGATTTTCGATCACTATACCTTTTTGCTTGCTTAAAATTTGGAAGTGTGTTTGGAACCATCAGGTCAACCTTTAACATTTTCTTACAACTAACTTAATTAATTAACCTTTTCTGGCATCACTTGAATAGTTATCTTTTCTTTATTATTAACTTAGGTATAAAGATGACACACATGATCGACTATGGAGTTCAATTAATTGGCCAAATAATACTTTATTATACACTTTGGATGAAGTTTCTTCGTTTCTTTTCACAACCATTGATCCACCATCAGCGGTTATGACTACTGCCATCATGCCAAGCTACCCAAAGAACTCAATTAACATAAACTGGAATCCTGATAATATCACTGATCAGTTTTTCATGTACATGCATTTTGCCGAAATTGAAATACTGAAAAGAAACCTCTCATATGCAAAACCTTTCTCTCCGCTAAATCATACAACCGTCACTATTTATAGCACAGAACCTGAGACCCCAGCACCCACGTATATATAGTCTCAATATAACCAAAACTAAAAATTCAACCCCATCAATGCCCTCGAGCTTTATGTATTAAAGCAGATGCCCCAAAGGCAGACAGATGATCCAGATGGTTAGTGTACAAGTGTCTTTTCATTTATGACAAAGCTAAGAAGGCTTAAATACTTAGCATCCCTTAACTTCTTTATGCTGTCTCTATAATGGATATTAGCTGCTGCAATGTGGAGTATTAAGTTAACTTACAGAATAACAAGACACTGGTAAGGAGATCCATGTTCTCCACAGGAATTTGTGTGGGAAGGCCTCGGATGCAGCTACAATGATACCAATGATACCGACTCTCCTAGGATCACATTCCTGTATGTACACTTTCAAGACGTAAGTTCAAATTTCTCTTATGATTGCAAGAATTTATTCACAGTTGATGTGAATCAGGAACTTGTCTATGAACAACTGAATGGAGGAATAGATCAAGGCTTTGCGAAACTCACAATGTTGGAGACCTTGTAAGTCAACACTATTAATTAGGAAGATATACAAAAAAAAGAACTGAACATATACAAAACTTATAACTCCGATAACAGTAAGTGCTATTCTCTCCATTCAAATTTCAGGGATTTGTCCAATAATAACTTAACAGGAACTGTGCCTGATTTTCTCTCTGGACTGAACTTTCTCAACGTCCTGTAAGTTATCTCCATTCCAATTTCAGATATTTACGTACACAGAGAATAATTGGATCTTACTATTATTTATAGCAATTTAAAAGGAAACAATTTAGTTGGGCCAATCCCAGAACAGCTGTTATCAAAGTCAAACAAGGGATTATTGTCATTGAGGTTTGCTACTTTCTTTCTGGAATATTTGAAAAAAAATATGATACAATTCGTTGCTTCAGTAATTAACACTTAATACCCCACAATTAGTTTTGATGGAGAGAGTACAGGCGACAATGTAAGTTCTTGTGACGCAAATCGTTGTAAAAACTCTAAGGATAACAAAATCATTGTTCCAGTAACAGCAACTGTTGCTTCAATCTTTGTGATCTTGACAGCAATCACGGCCATATGGGTGATTACAAAACGAAGAGAACATGGTATGAGAATCAGTAATCTTTGATTTATTAAGTATTAACCATGTATGGAACACTTTAGTCAGGACACAGACATGCACGAAAATATCAATAACCGGAAGATTGCATGCAGACAAAAGGAAAAAAGGAAAGGGTCTAGAAATAAGAAAACAACAGTACACATACTCAGAGGTGCAGAGCATCACTGACAACTTCAATGTTGTTATTGGTAAAGGGGGATTTGGAACTGTTTACCATCGGCATATCGATGATACAGAAGTTGCTGTGAAGATGCTTTCAGAATCATCGCTCCAAGGGGACAAAGAATTCCAGGCTGAGATAACTTCAAAACTAAAACATTTGAAAACAAGCGTATAATAAGAAGGAAGAACCATATAAAAAAAATGTATTCAATAGAAATTGCATGAAAAGCTGAAAAATATCTTATGTCCAGGCCTATCTTCACCTGAGTGTTCATCATAAAAACTTAATTTCACTCGTTGGGTACTGCAATGAAGGAAACCATAAGGGAATCATTTTCGAGTACATGGCTAATGGAAATTTAGAGAGGCATCTATTTGGTATTTGTCTTCACTAATATTTTGTTCTTTAAGTTAGACATGTCTATATATTTCTCTATACACTACTTTATACCTTTGACATGGATTAAAAGCTAATCTATACTTCTGATTTCTATGTGAAGTAAGATATTACGTACAAACATGTATGACTAAGTATTAATATTTCAAATCACTTGAGCAAATACGAGTTCAAGTGTCTTGAATTGGGAAGAAAGATTACAAATAGGATGAGATGCAGCACATGGTTCGTAATACTATTTCAAATTCAACTTGCTTATAGTTTTGTCTTCTATAATAACAAAGATTTTTAACGATATGGAGTTCTCATTTCAGGACTGGATTACCTGCATCATGGTTGCAAGCGACTGATAGTCCATAGAGATGTCAAGTGTAGCAACATCTTGCTCAATGGAAATTTTCAAGCAAAAATAGCTGACTTTGGATTGTCCAAAGTTTTTCCAACGGAAGTTGGTACGCATATTTCAACAGCTGTTGCTGGAACTCCTGGATACCTGGACCCTGAGTGAGTTTTTCAGATAACATATATTTAACCAATAAGACACAATCAGATGTGACAGTGACAACCACTTTTTAATTCTAGATACTTCAAGTAGCATAAATTTATGCAAACCTTTTGATGTGAAAACATTGAAATTTCCTCTGTGTATGTGCTATTCATCGATATTTTGGTATACGTAAAATATATGAATTATTGAATGCAGGTATTACACGTCCAACAGGTTGACGGAGAAAAGTGATGTTTATAGCTTTGGAATGGTGCTTCTAGTGATAATCACAGGACAACCAGCAATAACAATATATGACAACAACATAAACATAAGTCGATGGGTCAATCTAAAGCTTGCAGGTGGGGACATGAAAAACATTGTTGATCCTAAGCTACTTGGAAAGAGCTCGTCAGGAGACAAAACCAAGGCAATTAACTAGACTCGGTTCTCTTAATGTGGAATGTATATATGACCCGAACCCAAGATAGTGAATTCAAAATATATTTTCAGTTTATATTTCTCTGTGCTTTATCTGCTTGTCGAGGTTGTTGGTTTTAAATGATTTTCCTTCTAAAATGAGATATAAGAGTGCACAACCTTAGCTCCTTTGCGCTTAAGTTGCGTGTAATAAGTGTATTAAAACTATTGTACACCTTGAAATCTTTCTCTTCTTGTTTTTGGTCTGTATTTTCCTTAAAAATTTCATAAATAGGGATGTAAAGATTTCACAATATGAAAGTTGTCCAACGCATTGTGTGGTTTAAGGATCTTTGCATATTCACTCAAAAATAGTGTAGAGTTTGGTATCGACTAATGGAGTTCTGGTGGTTCATATGCGTGTATGTATGTGTGGAATGTATATTTGTTGGTAATGTTGTTGATTCAGTGTCACAAATGTAATTAGAATTAATGAGTGCCAAAACGGATAATTAACTGATTCTAATATAAGTTACATGGCGCATAAGTCACAATTATTTAAGATGGGTTCGATACCGGAGCAACCAAAGAAGGTGGTGAAACTGATAATTTCGTCAATTTTGGAAATTGAATCAAATTGTATCGGGAAAATATGATTTAATATATGGGCACCTTAGGCCATATGGTATACTAACCACGAGGTTGTTCGTGGTTGAGTTGGCCACAAACAACGGTCGTGCAAACCGCCTCGTTGGTTCGTGGTAGCTCGTGTTTGTGGTCTTTGGTGTTCCACACAACGGACGTAAACGGCCAATGAAATCGAAGCCCCCATTTGACCATTTTTACTAGCCGTAGAACGGCTACTATGGTTTAAAAAAAAATTGCCCACTTTATTTACCTATAAATACAACACCTTAACTTCTTAAGTTTTACACTAATCTTTTCTTTCTCTATACACAAACTACACACTACATCTTCACAACCAAAAACCATGGATTCCAACCAAAACACCCCTCCAAACTACAGAAATCGCAAGTCCGATAACGCTTTTGCGTTAGATACGACACCTCACCAATTCCCGACTATGGAGTCACTTGAAGGCGGTTTTATCAATCTAATTCAAAGTGGTTCCCCTATCCAACAAACACCACTTTTCCAACAACAATATCAAACTTTTCTGGCTTTCGAACAACAACAAATGCAACAACAAT